AGTTCGAAAAGTTTTTTCTTTCAAACTATTATTTTTTGTTTTTTTTTTCAAATAATTTTTACTTTTATTATTTTTTTTTCAAATAATTTTTATTTTTTCCAATTATTATTTTAAATTTTTTAAAATTATTTTTCAATTTAATAATTCAATTTTTTTTTTGATCACTGGCAATATTAGCAGTGTCCATCGGGTTCAATAGGTTCGGTTAGCCGCCAAGTCCACATAAAACTCTTCCCTTTCAAAATGAATCCCTTTAATTTGAAAAAAACAAATGAAAAAGGAAAAAATAATTTGAAAAAAAAAATTACAATGATAATATGAAAAAAAAGAAAAAAATAATTTGAAAAAAAAAATAATAATTTGATAAAAAACATACAAAAAAAAAAATGCTAGACTCCCTACAGAGTACACGTTACTTATCGCGTTTCACGAGTACCGTTTTTAATACGAGGAGCTCCGATAGCAATATATTATACACTCACCATATCGCAGGTAATATGATCATTATTTATACTACTAGATAAGATACGATACACCCAGCGGGCGCAAGTCCATCACACTATTGTTATATGTAAGTTTAGCATATAGTTATTAGTACAGTAATATGATATGTATACTGGCGTACGTGACTACGGGACCGGCGCTCCAGTAGGAATCTGCTGATCCAGCAATTCCCACCCTGGCCGTTGTACAGAGAGGCCCTTCGGTCACGGCCGCCCGGCAGTCGTTAAGTTAGACGCATTCAAGCAGAACCTCTTTCGTATACAGAAAATCTATGAATAAATCCAAAGCATTAATTGTATTAGTTGAGTAATTTATAGTAATAAAGTATCTTTTAACATCAAAACTGCCGTATTTTTGCCTAAATCTCTTTAAATACGTCCAACTGTCTTTTACCAAGCATAACAACGCGCCGGTACACATCACTATAAAATGTTTACAAAACCACCGGCCATAAAAAGCCTCTCTATTCGTCAACAAACTCATTCAAAAGATGTACTAAAACAAAAAGATAACAACCCATTTATTACAGTACAACAAAAACAATTCAAATTACGAACATTTTTCAACCCGAATAAAAGAAAATATTATCTAACGTATATCCTAATATACCGCCCGACGTAATCGCAAACGAATTTATCAAAATAAATAAACCTCTCTGTAGCCCTATAACACCGTTAAGGGCCGGCATTCAAGTTGAAGAGTTTACGTATATTTTAAGTTTTCGTCGACAAATTATTTTCCTTATATTTCAATTTATTTATTTTTCAAATTATTTTTTTTTTTATTTTTTATTTTATTTTTCAAATTATTTTAACTTTTATATTTTTTTTTTTTTACGCTGTATTTGGTATGTCTGTTTATCTATTAAAATACTTTTACTAACATTTTATTTTTCTAGGTAAAACAACGCAGTCAAAACGGAATGAGATGAAGATGGTGTTGGTTTACATTTAAACATTAAAATGTAAATTGAATGAAAATCTCAACATTGTGGCGCTTGTGAACAAAATAATCAAATTTGACAAACCTCTATATTGGTAAATATATTTTATATTTTACATTATACATTTATTAACACATTTATTTTATATAGGATTTTTGGGCTAGGTCATCAGTAAGATACTGATGTTTGAATCCATTATAACAGGGATGGGCAACTCAAAGTAACTAGCGGGCCACTTTTAAATACTTTAAAATCTAGCGTGCCGCAGTGCATAGGAGAAAGCAAAAAAAAATTAAAATTTTATTTTTTATCTTTATTTATTTATATTTACAATTATTATTTAATGTGATACTTGAGGATGAGGTTTTTCAATAGACAATTTAGTAAAATCCACTTCTATTTCTGTAGTTGAAACTCTTAGTAAATGTCCCAAGGTTTCATCTGTTAAACGATTTCTTTCCTTCGATTTAATATGTTTCAAGTTCGAAAATGTACATTCGCATATGTATGTGGTTCCAAACATAGATAACATTTTTAATGCGAAATCTCTTAGAATTGGATATTTTTCAACTGGTAATGTTTTCCAAAATGACACATCAATCTCTTTTGCAGATAAAAATGGATCTGTTTGTAACTCACATAATTCTAATTGAAGTGAAGGATCTTGCTTTTCAATTTCAACTGCCATAGGATTATTAAATTAATTTATTTGAGGACGCATAAGTTCAATTTCTTCAAATCGTCTTTTTAACTCTACAATTAATTCATCAATGTGGGTAATGCAATGTTCAAAATTAAATTCATTATCAAATTCTTGTTTTATAACTTCACAACACGGAAAATGTATTAATTTATTTTCAACAAATACATTTTTAAACAGTTCCAATTTTTTTCTGAATCCATCTAAAAAGCCTATTATTTGAGATATTGTTTGTTTTCTACCTTGTAGTTGTAAATTTAGTTTATTTATATGTTGAGAAATATCCGTTAAAAATGCTAATGAACATAGAAATTGTTTATCAACTAATTGATTTTCAAAATAAGTGGTATCAGTTGTAATATTTGTTTTAAGAAAATTTAATATTTCTTTTCTCAAATCAAAAAAACGTTCGAGACACTTTCCTCGACTTAACCAGCGTACATCTGTGTGCAATAATAAATCACCATATTCACAATCAAGTTCTTCTAAATATTTAATAAAATTATGGTGGTTCAAACTACGGTTGCCTCCTCTAATTAGATTAGTAATTTTAAATACTGTATTCATAATGTTATCAAGTTTCATTATTTTACCACACAACGCTTCTTGATGAATAATGCAATGTATTGCAGGAACATTAATATCAGATTTGCGCAATAATCCAACAAAACCAATATTTTTGCCAACCATAGATTTTGCACCATCAGTCACAACCGATGACATTTTTTTGAAACCTCCAAATGGTTCAATTGCATTTTTTACAGCATTAAAAATATCAATTCCTTTGGTTGATCCATGCAAGGAACACAATTCTAAAAGTTCTTCATACATTTCAAATTGTAGAGAAATAACTCTAACAAATATTAAAAGTTGACTAACATCTGAAACATCAGTACTTTCGTCTAATGCTATTGAAAAATATGCGCAATTCATCATTATAGTTTGCAATGTTTCACGAATAACACTATCAGTGTCAGCTATACGACGTGTCACGGTACGTCTTGAAAGTGATATTTTTTCAAATTCACTCGCAATTCTATTTTCGTTTATTGATTTAGCCATTTTTATTGTACAGTTTTTAATAAATTCACCGTTATTTAGAGATTTTTTAGATTTTGCAATTTCATTAGAAATAACGTATGATGCCATTAAACTTAATTGTTGTGAAGTTGTTGCTTTTACCATCACATTTTGTTGGGTTTGGAGTTTTCTTTTCAGATCAATTACAACATTCTCTCTTGCGACACCGGTGTATTTATCATATTTGGACGAATGATTTGTCATGTAATGTCTTTTCAAATTATATTCTTTTAGTACTGCAATAATATTTAAACAAACTAAACATTGAGGTTTTTTTTGTTTGTTAATAATAAATAAATATTCATTCTCCCATAAGCTGTTAAAAATTCTATTTTCGTCTTCGATTTTACGCTTTTTAGCGGACATTTTTAAAATAATAATAAAACACGAAAATAATAGTACTAACGGCGCGGCGGTGTGACACTACGGCAGTACGGTACGGCAGTACGGATATGACTAAACCGATAAAATTAAATAAATAGTATGTTAGCTATGCCATTATAAATATATATTTAGACATTTAATAATTTAGTTTCGGTTTAAAACTAGATAAGAATTTATATCTACATTTCATCAAAAAATGTAATAAAATAAAATACAGATAAGCGCTAAAATTATATGAAGTAATTTGAAAATGTAGCGCGGGCCAGATAAAAAAGGTACGCGGGCCGCCAGTTGCCCATCCCTG